CAAGGTAGCTTTGATTGTACTTTTCTAAGCCCACGGTAGCTTTGATTGTACTTTTCTAAGACCACGGTAGCTTTGATTGTACTTTTCTAAGACCATAGTAGCTTTGATTGTACTTTTCTAAGACCATAGTAGCTTTGATTGTACTTTTCTAAGACCATAGTAGCTTTGATTGTACTTTTCTAAGACCATAGTAGCTTTGATAGTACTTTTCTAAGACCATAGTAGCTTTGATTGTACTTTTCTAAGACCATGATTGGTTATTTCTTCGTTTCATATTGCTTGAATGATTTATGCTTCATCCTTTATAATGGCTCTTTTCAGACGTATTTTGGTTTTGATGTGAGTAAAATAAAAGATCCACTGAGAAGACAGGCATTATTAACAATGATCAAAACATACGGTCAGACACCAAAACAACTGTTCCGTTCACCACATCCTGGTATACAGAAATCAAGCGAGGGAATCCTGTCTCAAATATTTCTCAATCCTAGCTCTGACTTAGAGGAGAGAAGTAGAACGTATGTGGTAAGCATCAGGTTGATTTTTATTCGGTTCTTATGTAAATTAGGTGACAAGGGTTGAAAGCTGACATTGGGCTGATCATTGGAAATCAAAATTTTGTTTACCTTGAGGAGGATTCAAACCCATGCCACATGCAGACGTTAATCTAATTCGCTACTAACTAAGGTTTTGTGCAGACAGAAAAACAGTCCTTCATTGCACTTTTCTTGGTTACCCATTTTCATTGTCCAAATCAGAACTGACGAAAACCTCATTTCATTTCATTCCTGCCCTCTGGATTAAATATAGATGAAAACCATGAATTTATTTCCAGCCACGACCAATTAAAACAGTATCTGGTTTAAAATGGGGTAACTATGTGGGGTCACCAGAATTTCTACCCCCTGTACCCACCTGGATGGAAAGATATCCAACTAGAATAACCAGCATGGTGCCTGTTTCTGCTGGGGTGGTGTTTGGCGTCCCTGAAAAATCCTGTGTTATAGTCCTCAATTCTAAGGCCAAAGGTTGGTGAATAAAATATTGCTTTATAATGTAACTGAAGATTTTGGGTCTAGCAAGGCTATTTAGTTTAAAGAGGAGCACCCTAGTTCAGTGACTTAGCACTTGCTTGCTTACCTGATGATCCAGGTTGCAATCCCAGCTTGGGTATAGATAATAGTCATTTTTAACCTGGTTTACCTTTGTCAGCAATGTTAGTCAGAGGGGCTGATGTGGAAAAAGTGTTC